TCACAATATGCTAAGGGAATATAACCCAATCGAAAAGACTCGAAAAACATCGAAAATCACGAAGTTGGCAAAACCCGAGCCCCGGGCCCACTTCTCGAAAAATTATAAATTTTACATCACCGGATTCCTTATCTCGCCATGAGTCTATACATATAAAGAACACCAAAATCGGAGTCCAAATGACCCCTCAAATTCCCATTTTTGTTCTCTTAGGTCTTAAGCCCTAAACCACCATTTTTGACCTTAATTCCTTGAGTTTTCAGTGTAATTCCATGTATTTGCATGATAAAATTGTGTTCTAAGTCCAAGAATGCTTACCTGATCCAAGTCCTTGAATTTCCTCTTCAAAATCGCTCAAGAACACCCCAAGTCCGAAGTTAAAATATATTTTCTGTAAAATTTTGCGAAGGGATTAAAACCCACTTCTGATCAGTTGTTTCCGCTTCTGCGGTTCTTTGTCGCTTCTGCGACTACCGCATCTGCGGTCATTTTCCGCTTCAGCGGAATCTCACTTATTGTCCAAAATTCCGCATCTGCGGTCCTTTTGTCGCATCTGCGACTCCGCAGATGCGGTTGGCATCTTCGCACCTGCGACTACTGTCGCTTCTGCGGTTCTTGAATCGCTTCTGCGGTACCGCTTCTGCGGTCCCATTTCCGCAGAAGCAAAAATACCAGAAGCAGCAAAATTCTACAATCTCTTTAAGTTCAAAACTTCCCGTTAGCCATCCGAAATCACCCCGAGGCCCTCGGGACCTCAACTAAGAATACAAACATGATCCAATACCTTATTCAAACTTGCTCCAGTCATCAAAACACTTCTAACAACACTAAAACCATCATTTCTCATCGAATTCAAGCCTAAGTTTTTCAATAACTTCCGAAATACGCATTCGATCAAAAATCCAACCAAATCACCTCCGAATGACCTGAAATTTTGCACACACATCCCAAATCACCTAACGAAGCTACTGCAACTCTCGGAATTCCATTCCGACCCTCGGATCAAAATCTCACCTATCAACCGGAATTCGCCAAAATACTAACTTCGCCAATTCAAGCCTAATTCTACTCCGGACCTCCAAAATCACTTTTGATTACACTCCTAAGTCACAAATCATCCCCCGAAGCTAACCAAATTATCAAAATTCAAATCCGAGCCCTCTAACACAAAAGTCAACATCCGGTTGACTTTTCCAACTTAAGCCTTCTTAAAAGAGACTAAGTGTCTCATTTCTTATCAAAACCATTCCAAACCAACTCTAACACATCGAATACTGACAATGAAACATGAAGAAGCATGACATGGGGAAAACGGGACGGTAAGTCACGTGACGACGGGTCGGGTCGTCACAGTATAATAAATGCATCTATGGTTCGTGACGGTCGACCCTCGATAATGTATACATTATTATGGACCGGGTCGTATGACCTCGGCATAATTTTGCGTGATATCGCTAGCTGTCCGAATATTCACGAGATTATCCTTCCACTGATGCCTGGTATTTTATATGATATTCCTTAGCCATTTGATACTGGCACTTGATACATCGGAGCTGTTGAGATAGAATACGAGACTAAGAAATTTATATCAAAAAAAAAATTGGAAGATTATGTAGCTTACAATTTTACCCCATTATTACTATTGTGCTTCATATGTGCTTATGATTTATCATATTGCGTTATTGAACCTCTAGTAAGTGTCCATGTCGACCCCTTGTTACTACTTCTCCGGGGTTAGGCTAGATACTTACTGGGTACGCGTTGATTTACGTACTCATGCTGCACTTCTGCACTATATGTGCAGGATCTGACAGGTTATTTGGTGGTCATCTTGGCGTATAGGCGCAGCTGCTGAGGAGCTTTATGGTGAGCTGCAATTCCAGGCTACGTATCGCAACTCACAGAGTCTCCATCATACTATTTACTTTATCCTATCTTATTTACATTCCAGACGGATGTTGTATTATTACTGTACTCCTTAGTAGATGCTCATGCACTTGTGGCACCGGGTTTTGGGATGTTCTAGAATTTGTTTATGGTTTGCTTAACCTCGATACACTTTTACTTGTATAATATTTAAAGTGTATTTATCTACGACTTTAACGCATTTATGTCTCCCCCTAACAAGATTCATGATTTCAAAAATAATAAAATGAATAACTAAGTTGTTAGTCACCGTTGGCTTGCCTAACGGCGACGTTAGGCGCCATCATGACCTAAAGTGGGTTTTGGATCGTGACATCTTGATATCAGAGCTCTAGGTTTATGTGGGCCTCATGAGTCATGAGAAAGTCTAGTAGAGTCTTGTGGATCGGTATAAAAACGTCTGTACTTATCTTCGAAAGGCTACATGGCTGTTAGGAGCACTTCCCTTCTTGATTCCTTATCGTGCAATTTGATTCTATTGAAGCTTATGCCTTCATTTCCTTCCTAACCAATCTTATGCGACGTGGAGCACTTGTTATCAATTGGGCATCGAGGAGTTGTAGTGGAACTGCAGATGTGGTGGGTGATGTTTTTCCCTGCATATTCGGGCAGGCTATTATCGTCACTTTGCGAAAGGGTGTTTGGTCGTTTCAGCTCAGAATCTATATTTCATGTGGTTTCGAGGCTATGCAGAGATTATTGTGTTCATGTGTTGTTATCTCACAGTGTTGGTGCAATGGCAGGGTGCTTGTTTATGTGTCGGGGCAGTGAAGGACTCGAAAGGAAGATTTCTTAGTGCATGGTTTAGAAGTTCAGCATTTTAATTCCAGCGGAGAAAAGGCAATCGGACGATGGATGTTCAAGCTTTGGTTGATGGAGTAACGAGACTTGATATTCTCGAGCGTGGTAGAATTATCATTTGTGATGTGGTGTCGTCATCCTTGTTGAATGCATTAAGGTTCATCGGTGTTACGTTCTTCTTTGATTTACCTTCGAGGCAGGGTGTAACTCTCCTTTTTTGCTTTTTCTAACCGCAATTATTGTAACTCTCCTTTTTTTGGTTTTTCACATGGTGTTTGTTACCCGCAAGGGCCCCACTAAATCTAGATTCTCCCCGAGAAGTTTCGTATTGGGAGGTAAAGCGCTCCCTAACAAGTATAAGTATTTCTTATTATTTTTAAAATAGACTTTAATTTATAATAATTTTTTGTTTAATTGGTACATTTGTTGAATGATGTTTTGATATATTTAAATCATCTTGAAAGAGTAAAATATTTATTCAATCTTATTTTTATATTTTACTTAAATTAAATGAAAATTTTAGTTATTGTCTTTCAAAATAAATATTTAAATTTATTATCTTCTTAAATAATATTATCTATTAAATAAAAAAATTCATATCTAATTTGTAATTTGACACTCCAAAATACTTTTTGAAAATTTTGACCAGCACAAATTGGTGCTCAAAAGTGCTTTTCAAATTGATTTTCCAAACATAAAATAAAACTTTTTCACAAAAAACACTTTTAAAAAAAAAAGATTACTTTCAAAAATAAAAATAGTTTAGAAGCTTGGCCAAACTTGTTATGAATTAACTGTAGTTCTAATTAAGTACAGCGAATTAGTTATGCTTGAAATAAGCAAAGCCAAGCTGACTCCAACTAACCGTTACATCCAATATAAAAATAGCATTACTGAAAATTTGTTTAGGATGAAAACTACGTACTATATTCACTTTGAGATTGGGCAAAGATCACTTTAATCCGCAACTAAAATTATTTATATTCGGTAGCTGCAAAAGTGTTTAAAATTTGTTTTACTTGGAAGAGCTTTTCTTTTTAATTAATTCTAAAATATAGTGTGAGAATCCATCCTAAAAATTGTCTAGCCTATATAATGCTTCACCAAATAATGTTATAATAATAAACATCTATAAATGAAATTAATCAGTAGAGCAAAGCAAAGTATAAAACAGGCCTTCTTATTAAGAAATAATGATGTCTGAATACTGCTTATTTTATATTTACCTTCTATAACACCAACATGCTTAGCCAAAAAGATCTTATAGTGGGAAGAGGAACACTAAAGCAACTTTAGGTGAGTTATTGTCTGATCATTACATTATACCAACTTAGGTTAGTTATTGTTTAGTCATTAATTTATTATGGTTCTTTGCCATTAAAATTTAAAAGTGTCTTCTTCTACTTATGATTTTTCTTGTAAAGATTTCCAACAGACTAATTAGTTTCGTGGAATTTGGACAGAAAAGGCCTAGGATCTTTGAGGAATTATAAAATGAAAGGAGACAAAGTAATCAGAATATGAGATACGGATCCAGTAGTTTTTGTAATTGTGTATATAACCTGAGATCATTGTAGGAACCTATAAACTTCAAATTTTAAATAAGCCTCTCGTTAAACTGCACATGATTTGACAGAATCCATCTTCCTAAGAATAAGATGTCACAATTTCAACCAACTATATCTTGAAGCTTCGATTTCCAAAACATTAGGATAAGACATAATTTGGAAGTTTTGGTTTACACAATTTCAACTAGGACCTCTTGAGTAAACATTTCCAATCTGGTCTTCCATAACCACCATCAGATGGATAGTTAATGTACCCAATCTTTTGATCAGTAAAGAAATATGCATCTTAAGCCGTTCTTTGAATATTTCCAACCATCAAGGATTGAGAGTTGTAGTAAAAAATATTTCTTTTTGCAAAGCTTTGTGTGTTAATTTCAACAACATAATAGATACAAGTCAATCATGTCATCACTCATAATCTTAAAAACCCTATTATGAATAAAAGAGAACATACTTTCATGTAATAATTGACTGAAAACAACAAGAAAGCTAGAATAAGTTAATGAGTTCAATACGCCTCGAACTCCAGCTTCATCAATACAACCAAACTCATTTACTACAGTAGTTATTACTCCAAAACCATAAGCAGTTTCCCCTTTAGATTTTTATCAAATAAGTAACCCACATTTTGCTGCAATTTGAACCACCCATCAAAACATAAGTAAATTGCACTTGTATGAATACGGAATAATCTTTCAAACATCAAAATTAAACAATCTTTTCTGCATCCATTAGAAATAGTGTCGTGTGAATCATGCGAGTATTTCTGAACTTGCAACAGAGAAAAGAAGAGATTACAAGTTTCTGAAAGCATATATCAGGGACATATAGAAATCTTGAAGAACTCAAGGTAGTGATCAGGGACAATGACTTCTTCAACTAGTCTCACCATTTTGTTTTTTACCCTTCTTTTGTTTGCCTAAAGCATTTAGCATATCATACAATGATGTAAATTCACTAAATTAAACTACTGATACATAAACCTTCTATTCCAGTACTATGCAATGCTTAGTAAACATATAGCTCTCTTTCTCTCAGGTAGAAATATTTGAATCAGATAGATATTAAGCCAAATGATCAAAGAGATTCGCCTCTATTTTTATTACTACTTTACTTAAGTTGTCTTCTAATGCTAACTTCCAGTATGAACTTCTCCTCATCAATCAGTTTAAATTGGCAAACATCTCCTTCACGCAAAGCATTACCGGCTATAAATTCTCCGAACCCAGTCCGCAGGAGAAGTCTATCAGAACTGTGAACTGAAACCGGCCAGCTACCTCTATCAGTTTGAAGAGTAGCCTCAAAGTTTTGCCCTTGCCCCCTGTTCAAGTATCTATTGCCAAAAGCAGCCGGTACATTCCGCACAAGTATGTATCGTCCAAAACATGCTCAGACACAATACACATTTAATAATCAAGTGATTGGTATCAGATGTAATGAACTAAAACACTACAACAAGCAGTAAGACAACTTCCATTACCATTCAAAGTATATATTCAACTACTTCAAAGAATACCACTTGACCAATAATATTCACATAGCTGAGTTATAGTGACGACATGCAAAGTTACAACTATATAATCATCATATTCTGCGAATTATATGCATCTGAAGTTTTAATGTTTTTGGAGGTAAAAAAATTTCTCTTCATCAAACATTCAGGTCAAAGAAACACACAGAATCAAATAGATGTCTTTCAGAGGATCTCAATATTACATTCCCATAAACTCTGAAGCGCAACATTTTAGAAGGAAATTTCATGACTTGGGGATGGACAGTGGCTGCAGTTGATGGGCAGGATAGAAGAATGAAGTTATCAAATGTAGGACGAGATGCATTACTTATGAAAGGGGAAGCTGGTGGAAATTATACAGTAAGGGAAGGATACAAAGCTCTTACTAGAAGTGGAAATGAAGATTCATTCTGCAGGGATGCCTTGCACAAGATATTCTAGCCCAAAGAGTTTTTATCTCATGCAGTAGATGTTCTTTGCGTGAAAAACGATATAGAACCAGTCAATCACTTATTTATATATTGTACAATAGCTAGGGAGTTGTGGAAACTATTCTTAAATCTGGTCAATATCAAATGGGTCTTTACAGGGAACACAAAACAGGTTCTTTGCAACTGGAGAGGAAGGACTCATAAGCCGATTATAAGAATATGGAATTGTATCCCTCTAGCTATATTTTGGGTGCTATTGAATGAACAGGAACAAATGTGCATCAGCTGAAAAACAATTGCTTATACGTGTTGTCAGTTTGGTCTAATTTTATGGTGTAAATGATATAAATCATCTGATTGATTTTGTCAGTTCCTTAGGAAGCTAATGGAGAACTAATCACTTTTCTTTTAATGAAACATTTACCTTTTGCTCAATAATAAATTGCACAACATTTCACACAATTCTATCTTCCTAAAAAAGTCAACAATTTCAACTAATTAGCTCGCAAGAATATATCGAAGCTTCTATTTTCTTTAGAAGTTTCTTTTGTTGGGAAATTATTGGACATAAATGTCAATCCTAGAAACTCTTGTAAAAGGAATTAAATAAGCCACTGGATAAAAGTGACTACAAGACATGAATTTTTATACTGTTTCGCATAGTTGACACTAAAGCAATTATATGTAATGACATTTTCGAAAATTAGTTGCATTTAAGTATTTATGAATATATACAAATTAGCAAATAATAACTTACCAAGCGCTTTTTCGAATGTAGGATGGCTTGATGACAATGTCGAATGAAGTGACAGAGACAACCAAGTCTCCTGATTCATTAAGTGCTTGATCAACTGGCCGAGCTGATGAACCTATCTCTGAACCAGATGCTCACTTGTAAGTTGACGATTTTTGGAACTGAAGTTTAAAGGTTAAGAATGAAGACAGATGTGTTGCACCAAACTAGCTATAAACTGAAGATCTTCAAAGAAACTTACCATGCACAATTTCTTCGTCCAATGGATGCAGCTCAGGCTCGTTGATGGCAGTTACGTCCCGCTTTAAGCTTCCATTTATCCCATATATTTTAACGTAAAAGTGTGAATTTCCAGCATAGGAAAAGGTTAAAAATTCTCCAAATTCCAAATTATTGTTCCACACAAAGTCTGGCCAACCTCCCATGAAAAAGAAATCATTGTCATTCTTTTCCACAACAACCTTCCAAGATTCCCCTGCAAGATCTTCAAGCATATAGTTTGAAGGAATGTCTCCATTGAAAAACTTGAGAAAGGCCGGTGGAATTCTCTAAGCAAAGGAGACACAAAACGGAACATAACTTCGCTTTGATTTCCGGTGGAAGAAAGATGTGCAATAACAATATAACAAGATATATAGAATTGCTTTAACAAAAATTGAAGTACACTCCTATCTGGGCCTTAATCCAGTGCTAATTTCTTTTAGTATACTGTCTGATAATGTCCACTCTAGTCTTCTACATCTAGGGTCATAACCACAAGGTAAATCTTTTATTATGTCATCATTCACTCTTCCATCAATAATGAAGAGTATTAAACTGGTATTCCTTCCACATATACATCATTAGCCCTTCTTAAAATATTTACAAACCATCTCACCAGATTATAGATTGCTAATTAGGATAATAAACACCCCATCTTACCAGATTATAAGGAGTAGTAATAAGAACGACATATTTGCAAGTTTTGAGTATTATTTTCATCAACATCTAAAAGGACCCATATGAACTTAGATCATTCAGACAAGAACCAAAAACTATAAGAGAACATACATGCATGAAATGACCTCTGTTTTTTAATTGATTAAGAACAGCAACAAGGTTATAATATGTTAAAAGTTCAACTAGTGGATCTTATGCCACGTTTTATTACCAGTTAAGGAGAAATAACTAACAATTATAACAGCAAATATTACCAGTTGGAAGTTGCATATTTGAGGGTGATAAATCTTAAAGAACTCTGGGAGGTGATCGGGGATAGTCACTTGCTCAATTGATGTCACCATTTTATCTTTCACCTTCTTTTTGTGGCTCGATTTGTCTATTGGAAACAGTCTCTCTAACGGACACAGTACACCCCCAAAACCCTGTATGTGGGTATGTTGTTGTTGTTTCTTTCTCTGGCTCAACTATAAAAGCAACAGAGACAGAGAGAGGAGAAAATCAGTACTTAAAACAAGAAAATGGTATAAACACACAATGTAAACAAAATAAAGAGGAAAATGGAGAATACGAATGAGCAGTAAAGATAAAATGAAACCTACATCTTACAGTACTTGACTTTTGGTTTTTGGTTCTGATTTTTGCTGGGATTTATAGAGGGGAGATGGAGATGAATAATTGGGTCGACCCATTTGGGACCCGAATTACCTCTATCTCTCCTTCCTAATCTACCTCTTCCCGAGGTGTCGCAGGTCTGAAGTATTGGGAATCTGATGACTTTGGCGTGAGAAGATGATTCCAAGAGTTCCACAAAAATGGGATGTGAGAGAAGGTGAAGAATGAGCAAGGGAAAAAGACTAAACATGAAAATGGAAAAAGAGATAGCAGTTGATGCAGAGCTGACAGTGGCGGCGGAGTAGCCGCCGGTGACAGTGGCCTCTAGTAAGTGTGGGAGTCGACGTTGTTTTTATACTCATGCTACACTTGTAGTGCATTTTTGTTGCACATGCACATGTATTTCTAGTTGCCTACTCGGCGTAGCAGCATGGATGATACGGAGACTAGGTGAGCTGCATGTCTCGAGGCGACGCCACCAGTATAGTCTCTTTCAGCATTGTATTTACTTTTTGTCCAATTCGTATTCCGGACAGTTATTGCACTTTATTCGATTCTTTAGTAATTGCTCATGCACTTGTGCCACCGAATTCTGGGATGATTATGAGATTATTTAATATTAAGTTTGTTAAAGACATCGGTATGTATTCAGTGGGATTCATTATTTATTTTCTAATGTATTAAACAAACGATTTCGAAAATATTAAAACGAAAAATTACCGATAAATTGGTGTTGGCTTGCCTAGCCATGGTGTCCGGCGCCATCACGACCCTTAACGGATTTTGGATCGCGATAGCTTTCTTGGCCATAACTGTGCAACAATATTTCCTTATCGAAAATTATGCTTATCACCATTGTCTTCTCTGGGCATTAGCAACCTGCAGTCATATAGAATGATCTTATGAGTTAAGTTTCCATGAGAAAGTAGGCTGGCAACATCCGTTGAGTATGTTAGTTAATATGCCATTTTCAAGCCTTTCTTTTAGTGCCAACAGTTCTATTTTGTATCGGTGAGGTTGCATACACACTTCTTCGAAAACTCACGATCCAGTCACCTTTACATGTAGCATCATATTCAAACTTTTTTTCTTTTGTTGAATAAATCTTCATTATCGTCTTGATCTAAACACACATTGAATTTGTCTTCAATCTCGTTCAACCGTTGACTCTGAACCATTGGCTCTGATACCACTTGTTGGGATCGAAATAACATGGTGCACGCGGAAACTAACAATACAAAGCTTGGTGGACGATAAATCAGACGACAAAAGAATAATATACTAAACTAAGCATAATAGTTTATAATGGTCTGGTCAATTGATCTATATATGATAAAACTAATATAAAAGAAGAAAAACTATCGAGAGAAAAATATCCCTCTAAACAAAATTCTTTAATGACTACATTGTGGATATTTTTGTGCTCTTGTGAGAAGTAGAGATCCTTAATTTATAGATGTGCAAAACTTGTCTTCCAAGAAAAAAATGACATATTAAGGAGATTTAATCCTTTTAGGAGTCTTTTTCCATTCCTTCAAGAAAAAGAGTCCTAATAGATTAAAAATTCAGGGCAAATCCTAACAAATACAACACCCAAGCCTCTTTTGAGTTGTTATTCCTTGAAGGCGCCATCTATTTTAAACTTGTACCAACCTGAATGAGGTTTGTGCCACTGTATATTAAATGCATAGAGATTCTTTTTTATAGTGTCTCTTTTTGTGAGGAACTTATGTTCAGTAGCACGATGCATGGATGACATTTTGTAGACTAACATAAGCGCTAGTATTATTCAGATTATTTCAATTTATGTTTAACCAGATACACCAAATTAAATAGCAAAAGGAAAGAGATAATGCCAAAGAAGATGACTTGCAGGTATGACGGGATTTATGTCTTTAATCAAAATGAGACAGTGACTGGTCGACGAGATATAAGGTTTGATATACTTATATTATTTCAGAAATGTTTAACTATAGGACAATCCAGGAAAGTATGCCTTATATATAGTCTCTTCCGCATTCTTACACATAGGACAAGTAGCATCAATTTTGATACCAATATAGCTAAGATATGAAATGCACCAAGTCTTTACTAAGCCATTTGTCTTCTTTCTTTTTTTTTTATTGTTTTTTCCCCTTTTCTTTTTCTTTTTGACTCTCTTCGGACAAAAGGGACTCTTACATTCCCTTCGTCATCTGGATACATTTAAATAACATCGATATTGTATATTCTTGTTGTACATTGATATATCTCGTCTTGGTGCCTCCTTCCCGCTCACTATTGTATTTTTATGTTATTTTTGAATTGGGTGTATTTTGTTCCTATTTTTACCTAAACACTTAAAATCAGGATCTTATGACCTCTGAACTATTCTGAAGTAGAGTTATTATACTTTTATTGGCTAACATGACAAAGAAAGTATATACACTTAACTAAAGAGTGTAAAAAGATTAAATTGCATTTGATTAGAAAATAATGTGCAAAAAGAGCGCATGATTGTATTGTGCACTTAAATTTGGATTTGGTCTCTTAAAATGATAATAATTCTATTTTACCAAAATAATGATACGCCTTAAAATGTATAATTAAAAAGGAGACAAGTTAGAAAAGTTTTTATGTATTATTTATTTTGTTTAAATTTATATGTACATACTTTGACTATTTCATTAAATGTTAAAGAAAAAACTAAAATTGATCTCATAAGCTTAGAGAATGATTGGATAAACCTATATATAAAAGGTGCTCATAAGCTAACTGTGATTTCCAGCATTTGATACTTCATATACCACGTATGAGAACAGTAGTATATGCATGATTTTATATAAGCGATGTAGCATTTAAAAAGTTGATTACTATATGTCACGACCCGAATTTCCCACCCTCGGAAGTCGTGATGATGCCTACTCATGAAAGCTAGGCAAGCCAATTATTACGGTTCTACACAATAACAATCAACCCCAACAGTTATAAACATAAACTAAAGTAAAACAGATGATAAATGCAGAAGAGTTAAATTAAATCCAAATACTTCAATACATGTCTACCCACGAATATGGTGTCACAAATTCACGAACAACTAAGATTTTTACTACAAATACAAGTCTGGAAAGAAAAGTACAATTGTTCTCGGAATGGAAAGAGACAGCAGAAAAGCTAAACAGAGAAGGGGGACTTTAGGCTCTGCGGACGCCAGCAGATCTACCTGAGTCTCCCTGGACTGAAGGCAGCTACCTCAGCTACTCACTGGGTCCGGTACCGAAAATCTGCACAAAAGAGTGCAGAGTGTAGTATCAGTATAACCGACCCCATGTACTGAGTAAGTGTCGAGCCTAACCTCGGCGAAGTAGTGACGAGGCTAGGACACGACAATCATATATACTTGTGCAGATAAATTATATACAAGCAGAAACATAACAACAGAAATCAACGGAATAAAGTGGGGAGGGGACATGCTGCGAGAAAATATCAGGTTCTAATAGTAAATCAATACAGAAGCATCATTAAGGAAACACAATGAACATCATATATAAATGTGACGACCCAAAGGGTCATCACCGTGGTTCTCCCTTTTTCCGCGCTTCCGAGGCCTTGGAAACCTCACTTTTGGTTGTCTCGATTTACGTGCGCACTCCGGGCGCGAAGCCGGAAAATTTTTATGTTAAAATATATGAATTCTGTGAAAAATTTGGTGAAATATGATATTAATATTGATATAGTTGACTTTGGTCAATATTTTGGGTAAACGGACCCGGACTCGTGATGTGACGGTCTCTGGAGGTCCGTAGAAAAATATGGGACTCGAGCATGTGCCTGGAGTCGAAATCCGAGGTCCAGAACCCCGGTAAAAGAATTTTTCTGATAAATTGTTTTCTGAAATTAATAAGGAAAAATGGAAATGAAAATGAGTTAGAAAATATAGGTATCGGGCTCGTATTTTGGTTCCGACGCCCGGTACAGGTCTTAAATATGCGTTAAGCGCTTCCTGTGAAATTTGGTCGAAATCGGACGTCGCTTGACGTGTTTCGGACCTAAATAGCTAAAGTTGAAGGTTTATGAACTTTGAAATGAAAATTATGAGTTTTGGGGGTTGATTATTTGATTTTGATGTTATTTTAGCGATTTGATCGCTCGAGCAAGTTCGTAGGATGATATTGAGTTAGTGTGTGTGTTTGGTTGGGAGCTCCGAGGGCTCGGGAGTGTTTCGGAGGTGGTTCGGGGTGTTTTACACTTAGAAAAGTTAGCAGATTTTCTGCAATTTCTGCACAAGCCTATTGTTCTACGCGAACGCGACCTTGTCCCGCGTTCGCGATGCCTTGTACCCCAGCCTTCTTCGCGTTCGCGTGAAAGGCCACGCGTTCGCATAGCTTCCCTTGCCCCCCTTCTTCGCGTTCGCATACCAGTCTCGCGAACGCATAGGCCAATATCTGGAACCCCAACTGTCCTTCATCGCGTTCGCGAGCCTCCCTCGCGTTCGCGTATAAGCCTGCCCAGACCCCCAGCATTTTCTTCTACGCGTTCGCCTTCCCCTTCACGCGAACGCGATGCCTGCCCATTTTCCTTCATCGCGAACGCGACCGGGGTGTCGCGAACGCGATGAACAATTTTGCCCAGTTATTTTAAAAGCCTAAAACAGTAGCCATTACGGGATTTTGCCATCTTCTTCACACGAACCTCTCTCTCAAATCCTCCATAGACGAAATTCAAGTTCCCTTTCCTCCACAACTCGTTGGGTAAGTAATCCTAACATCGTTTCCTCATTATTTTATCATCTAATCACTAAATTCTAGGCCTAAAAACATGAAATCAAGGTAGAAATTAGGACTTTTGGGTAGAGTTAGGTTTTTAAAAATTTTGGGCGATTCAACCTCAATTTGGGGTCGGATCTTGAAACAAATTATATATTTGAACTCGTGGGGTTATGGGTGATTGGAATTTGGTTCGAGCCTCGAGTTTGGACCATGTGGGCCCGGTGTCGGATTTTGCTATTTTTGGAAGAATGGTAGGAAATTCATTTCTAGGCTATGGGATTATGTTGTTGAGCCTCATTTGATATTATTGAATTAATTATGAATAGATATCATTGTTTCAGAGTCGAATTCTAGAGGAAAGGCGGTGTTAGAGGCTTGATTGCTATTTTCGGACCGAGGTAAGTGTTTGACCTAACTTTGGCTTGAGGGAATAGGATTAGAGTATCATGAATGCTATTTGCTAATTGATCGAGTATGGTGTATATTTGTGGTGACGAGTGTCTATACACCGGAGTCTAGCATGACTGTGGGTCTTTGTTTGTACTTGTTTTTGAGGTAATTTGGAACTCTTCCAAGCTACAACATGTTTTTCTGCAAATGT